TTCGTGGCGTGTTGGCGGGCCTTGGACCCGATCGGATCGACAGTGTTGAACTCACTACGCTGAGCATCGGTGTCCTTAGTCTTCTTGAGGTCTGAGGGGGGAGTGGAAGGGGGGATTTCACAAAGGAGTGGTATTACTTTCGAGAGACTCGACGGCTAAGGTAGCGGTATCCCGAATTGCCTCGTTTTCATGAGTCAAATAGGGACGAATCTTGTCAAGGGAATCGACGGAGCCACAAGCGGCAAGGCCCTCAATGGCTTCGTGACGCACCTAACATGATCCGAAATTGCACTCCATCGGACCTATTCTGTATCTTCCACTTCTGAACCGAAGATACGCCCGCTGATCTCACCATGGGATGCTCGTTAACATCATCCATAACGTTCTCGAGCTTCCACGCACCTTCCAAGCCATGCTCCATCTGGCCGATGCAATAGCACGCCTCGTGTCGAAGAAGCACCTGGAAGTTCGATGAGGAGTGGTGTGAACTATAGCACGCATGCACATACCGATTTGGTCTCGGGCTCCAAGACCTTATAAAGAGCCTCAATCGCCTCAGAATCATCCCGGCTCCGGGCGTAGAAGAGAGCGCGGTACCGCTTCTCCACTGGGGCCTCAGGGTCCGCAAGAAGGCCCTTCACCTCCTCCCAAGTCGGCTCATGGTCATCACCTCGGAACTCTCTGGACATGGTCACTAGGTAGGAGTTGTAGTATGACTGAACAAATATCTAGGTCATCTATGTAGGATTCAAAACAGGCCCGAAACATGACCATTCTTGATTAACACACACATTGCGCCACTTTGACCTTTCTGACCTCTTCTCATCCGTCCAGACATCACCACGATCCCGACACAATGGCTGTCCCCTTACCATAGCTCCACCACATACTATCAACCTCCCCTCTCCCGCACACAATAAGGAGACACTGTAACTCGGAACAGAAGCGCATAATAGAAACAGGAACATTTACGTTGATGCGCCGCCTCACCACTCAGCTATGACTATAGCTTAACCCGTTTGCTGCCGCCAGCCGTAGCATCGCTCCGCCCTTCTTTTCTCTTCGCTTCCGATCGCCGTACATCCCGACCAGCCGAGTCCGCCGCAGCAGCCATCAGTGCTGTAGTACGGATCTTACGATTACTCCTAATACGGACAAAGTCATCATCCTACCGACTGTCCACCACCTTACTTGTCGTTGCCAGGGCCTTCCTTCCGAGCCTTCCTCTCCGCCTTCTCCTTCTTGTTCTTCTCAATCAACTTGGCCTCTCTCGCTCTTCTATCCCCCACGGTCACATTACCTATAAAC